CAGTCATATTAAAGTACCGAGTGAAAGTTCTGTTTATTGAACATACCTCTGTTACTAATTCCATGAGGGGATCTCTGTCTATAAACCATAAGGCAGAAGAAATAGTATTGAAAGTGAGTGTTCCCATTGTTGGACAACTACCTCATGGTACAGACTGTAACCTCCGACCCACGAGCTGTGTTCATTAGGGCTAAATGGAAAATCGCCACAATACACTGTGTGATTATGCTGATTGTGCAGTCGTGTGGTTATACTTCAGTGTGAAACTTTCTGTGTGTATTTATGTTAATAATGTAACCTTTTCTGACTTTTTGAGTCAATGTGAAATGTTCATGTATACGTATATATGAAGTGTGAAAAGGAATTTTAGTGTAATTTTATTACCAAATATACAAGAGTTTTAAGCTGTTTCTTGGTCAAGGTTTGCATGATCAGTCTGATTGAAAGACAATATATGATAAATGTAGCATTAGCAGATCCTAAGGACATGTTGAGACACACACCGTATCATCACTGTGTGTCTAATACAGCTCTAATGTTCAGCTCGATGGAGAAATGGTTGGAATTTATATGTCTGTATCATGTTGACAGTAATTTGTGGGGGCCATCTTTGCATGGATCTGTTCAACTGGATTTATTCACATATCAAGGACAAACGTTTTGCAGAAGTATGTTGGGCCATCGTAAAAATCAAACATGTATGCATTGAATAACTGAACATACACGCACCTTTGTCCTTGACCATGTCTGTCTGTCTCTTGCCTGTTGCCACCAGCAACCCGCTACAACATTCTTCTCATGACAGGCACACTAAATGCTTAAGTCATGTTCAAAAATTTTTAATTTGGTGAAATGTTCATCCAGTTTATCACATTCTACAGATAACACACATGGCTTCAGGTATATTTACTCTCCAATTATATTTCTTTTGACCACCTAATCTCAGTTTATTCCAAAATATATGTTAGCGATCAGTGTTTTTAGTGTAGATGTTGGTGACAACATGTTTGTCGTGTGTTTAGACCAAATGGACTGTTTTGTCACACATTCTCATTTGACAATTTGCGCGTTGTCCTTTGTCAGTGGCCAGTGTGTGGAACTGTGTATAGAAATTGTTAATTCATCTTGTGGCTGCATATTAATTCAGAAAATCACTAAATTACTAGCAGTCTTGATTGCTACAAGCATGGCTTTGACTCTGAAGAAATAAAGCTCTTTCTAGAACAGTGTGTGTTGCATCCAGGTATACAGTGTTACTTTTTATCTTTTCTTGAGCATGCTTGTGGTTAACAGACTCTTTTACTGTACATCTTTTATAACAAACTTTTTTAAGAACAGTCTACTTAACTCTTAAATTCTTATGTCCACAGTCTTTTATTTTTTATGTAGAAGCTCACACATTCTGGAAAGGTTTTGGCAGTCCTGTCTCACCTCTTGCTGCTGAGTTAGCTAGTCACTGGTCACCCGGATTAGTAACTGGTCACACGGATCTTTGGCTAGAATGACTGCAATCAGGCTGCACTCATCATTATTGCATCGTTCACAAGTACATGACCTAGTCAAACGCCCAGTATCACTGATCATTAAACATGTGCACCCACTCTCTAGATTTGACCATTAAACCAACAAAAATGCTCACTAAATTTTGACATGACCTGAGTACTGGAACTTGAAGTCGTGTTTGTGGCAGTTCGTCAAACTCATTCCAGTAGAAGTCTGATGAAGATCATGCTGTGTTTCTTGTCATGGGAGGAGTTTGTAGGTCTGGCAAGATGGCTGTGAGATATGTCCTGTCCCTTGTCAAGTCGTACATGTTTGTGTGTTTCAGCACTTGGAGAAAGTTATGAGCCATCGCCAGCAGCAGTATGCCCAGTTCAGAAGTTTTATAAGTATCCGAGCCAAATATTTCTTTGTTGTGTTGCTAAGCAACAGGAATTATTTCGGCAAGATGAGTTTCAATCATGAGAAAGAATCCCTTGAAATGTCTGTAAGTTCCTTTAGTATTCTTCAGAACGTAGAGATTGCTGGGCTCCATAATGCTACTTGACCCACTCTACTTCAGCCATTGTAGCGCAACCTCCAGCTCCATTGTAGTGCAACCTCCAGCTCCATTGTAGTGCAACCTCCAGCTCTGTTGTAGTGCAACCTTCGGTTCTGTTGTAGTGCAACCTTCGGTTCCGTTGTAGTGCAACATTCAGCTCACTGTATTGAGTGTTGGAACAGTTGCCTAGTTTCTCTTGACACTCCTAGTCCTCTACTCTTCTGTAGACTGCACAAGCACCACTTCATCCCACAGTACTGTATCAGCGTGATGTGTCTGAACAATCTATACATCATACTGCATGATACGGTTGCCATGTTACACTGATGCACACATAGTTTACCACTCACACGTATACTCAACTACTAATGATCGTCACCCTAGAGTTGCCTGCTTCAGTTGAAGTTTGATTACATTAACGATTAACACTAACAATACTATAAACTATAGAGAACTCGTGGGTTACTGAGGACGGCCCAATTACATCCGTCACGATACCAGGTCTGCTGTTTCCAGGAATGGTCTATGGTCTGAGTGAGTGAGTGAGTTTGGTTTTACGCCGCAATATTCCAGCAATATCACGGCGGGGGACACCAGAAATGGGCTTAACACATTGTACCCATGTGGGGAATCGAACCCGGGTCTTCGGCGTGACGAGGGAACGCCTTAACCACTAGGCTACCCCACCGCCCTGTCTTTGGTCTGAACATGTGCAAGTGTTCCTCCAAGTATCTGTGACCTGCATCCCCTCCACATCATAGTGGTCACTGCTGTACATAGCAGCATTAACAAAGTCACAAACCCTGTGTTCAGTCTTCCTGCATGTAATGTTCTAACTGTCTCCAGCATGAATGGAAAACAAACAGTATACACTGTGTTTCCTACAGTGAAATCCAATTCTACAGTCAGTATGTCTTGCATTTATTTATGCCATGGCTGATAAATTATAGTAATATGTAATATTTTGTGTTATCTTCCGTTAACTAGTATGAATTACAGATTATTTAGGGATGTTTTAGGTATTTTTGTATTGCAGAAATGTTTGTATCACATGAGTAGTATGTGATCATGGTCAACTTGTGCCAAATATCAGCCAGACTTCAGTATTATAAAGGTGACAACATCCAGGAAAAGCATGGACAGTTACTAAGGATTTAAGGGTTGAATCTTTGGTACATAGATTCATGTCAGAGGCCCAGATAAGCTGCGTATCCGGGTAAAATACGCATAGAAAATTTCCAATTACGCATTGAAAAATAATTGTTGCGTACCAATTACGCATTTAAAATGTTAGATACGCAAAAGGTTTAAAACAAATGCGTATGGAATATATTTATAAAAATCGTTTGCGTAATGAAAAATACGTCCATTGCTATCAAGTTGTACTGTTAGTATAGGACAAGTGTTGTACTGTCAGTATAGGATGAGTGATTTTTTATGAAATCATTTCCATTATATTTAAGTTGGTTTTGATTAGGTATGACATAAGGCAGAACATACCTGCTTAGTAAATTTACTCAATGACATAATACTTAGGTGAGTAAATGACTGAAATATGCACATATTTGAACGCAGTGGGTAACGGAAAATGAAATACCCACTCAACATTCATAATACCCACTCCAAAAGAATACAGTGGGTACAGTACCCACATGAGCTAAATCTTATCTGGAGCTCTGCATGTGACCTTCATTAAACTCCAAGGTCACTGGATTGGTTACCCTTGAGCCCTCCATGCTTCTTTATGTACAGAACCATCACCTGAATTTGAGGGTCCAGGGTCCAGATCCACAAAGTGTTCGTAATGTTACAACCTGTTGTAACTTTGTTGTTCATCAAAGGCTTACAAATGTTGTAGCACTGCGAATGTTTTGTGGATTGGGACCCAGGTCATTAAACAGGAAGTGCATGTAACTCGTATATTAATGTAGCTTGAGACACAAGTCTTTTCTGTTTGAAAGGTGCATTCACTCAAATATTTTCCCATACTAGAAGTTCCTTAAACTGAAGTGCATCTAACTTTCTTATTAGCTAGGGGCATGAGACACTTTGTTAGTTTATGTTTTTTTACATCAGGCATGTGTTTCCCAAAGAAGAAATATGTCATGGAATTAGAAGTGCGTTTAACCTTCTCAATAATGGAGATGGAAGTATAGGATTGCATGATAAGCCATGAGTGGTTACAACTAGCAGGAGGAAAAGGACCTTGCAGTTTACACTGAGTCTCCTGAACTAGCAATGATTGTATTAGATGACCTTGGGATCCGCCTTGAGGCAGGGTACCTTAAAGTGGCTAGAGCTTGTGAGCATGTACTGCAGGTAATGGCATCACACTGGAAATATGTAGTGCATGTCAGACCGTAGCTTACACATCAGTAAGACAAGCCTGAGACATGGCAATAGTTGGAATGTAAACACACGATGCACGTGATCTGATACCATGAATTGTTTCTACTCCCCTGTACAATGTAACCCGTATATTTTTGGTTATGTGAGTTGAATTTATTCAAACAGGTTTGGATTCATGTGTAAACAACTCAAACACAATTTTCAATGAAATCCACATATAAAAGTTTAAAAATACTTTCAATATACACAAACAGTAAAAGTTGAGATTTGTTGGTAGGAGTTTTACATCTGAGAATAGCCTTTCTATGTCAGATGTGTCAAAGGAGATAATGTAGACACACTTGCATCTCAAAAAGACCTAGTCAGTCATGAAACTGAATGAAAGTCTGTTACAGCTTCCCATGATAGGTCCTACCAGTTAGTTCCAAAGTCATCAGCTAAGAACTGATTGCACTTTTGTAGAATAGACCAGCTGCTTTCACAGAGTTGTGCTTCTTCTTACACCTGCCATTGTGAGTAGCTACACCAGCAGTAGTTCCACCACCAGTAGTAGCTACACCACCAGCAGTAGCAACAGCTACACCAGTAGTTCCACCACCAGCAGTAGTTCCACCACCAGCAGTAGTTCCACCACCAGCAGTAGCTACAACAGCAGTAGCTCCACCACCAGCAGTAGCTACACCACCAGCAGTAGCTACACCACCAGCAGTAGCTACACCACCAGCAGTAGTTCCACCACCAGCAGTAGCTACACCAGCAGCTACTAGTAGTTCCACCACCAGTAGTAGCTAGCACCACCAGTAGCTACACCAGTAGCTACACCACCAGCAGTAGTACGCCACACCAGCAGCAACAGCAGTAGTTCCACCACCAGTAGTAGCTACACCACCAGCAGTAGCTACACCACCAGCAGTAGTTCCACCACCAGTAGTAGCTACACCACCAGCAGTAGCTACAACAGCAGTAGTTCCACCACCAGTAGTAGCTGCACCACCAGCAGTAGCTACACCACCAGCAGTAGCTACACCACCAGTAGTAGCTACACCACCAGCAGTAGCTACAACAGCAGTAGTTCCACCACCAGTAGTAGCTACACCACCAGCAGTAGCTACAACAGCAGTAGTTCCACCACCAGCAGTAGCGGTAGCTACAGTACAAGCAGTAGTTCCACCAGCACCACCAGCAGTAGCTACACCACCAGCAGTAGCTACAACAGCAGTAGTTCCACCACCAGTAGTAGCTGCACCACCAGCAGTAGCTACAACAGCAGTAGTTCCACCACCAGTAGTAGCTGCACCACCAGCAGTAGCTACACCACCAGCAGTAGCTACCACCAGCAGTAGTAGCTACACCACCAGCAGTAGCTACAACAGCAGTAGTTCCACCACCAGTAGTAGCTGCACCACCAGCAGTAGCTACCTAGTTCCACCAGCAGTAGCTACACCACCAGTAGTAGTAGTTCCACCACCAGCAGTAGCTACCACAGCACCAGCAGTAGTTCCCAGTGGTAGCACCAGCAGTAGCTGCACCGCACCAGCAGTAGCACCACCAGCAGTAGTTCTACACCCACCAGTACCACCAGCAGTAGCTACAACAGCAGTAGTTCCACCACCAGTAGTAGCTGCACCACCAGCAGTAGCTAGTTACCTGCAGTAGTAGCTACACCCAGCAGCACCACCAGTAGTAGCTACACCACCAGCAGTAGCTACACCACCAGCAGTAGCTACAACAGCAGTAGCTGCACCACCAGTAGTAGCTGCACCACCAGCAGTAGCTACACCACCAGCAGTAGCTACAACAGCAGTAGTTCCACCACCAGCAGTAGCTACACCACCAGCAGTAGCTACACCACCAGCAGTAGCTACACCACCAGCAGTAGCTACACAGAGAGTCCGGCAATCTCCACATATAAGAAATTGTGAACCCCAGCCTGTAGCTAGTTTGTCCCTGCATTTGTTTCCTCAGGTTTTGGATTAAAGATTTTCAGGGTTTCAGATTGGGTTACTTCCTGGGACATTTACTGACTGCTATCCAAACTGTCTTGAGATTATTTTCCAAATTTGGAAGCAGATGTGGTAATTTACACACTACCCAAGTCATGAACAAATAGTGATACTGTACTATATGGTCGTGTATTAATCAGCAAGAACATTAGGTTTAATGTTCCTGTCACCACCACTAGATATAAAGATATCCAGAATAGTTGATGTCAGTTCTCTCCTTCAGTAGGGAAGTGGCAAGATCTCAACATACAGGTTTTATCCACCAAGGGTACAGAAGATGAGCAGTTGTTTTCTTTTTCACTTTTCTTGTTGGAATTCAAAGCTAACCTACACCGTGTGACCAGTTATGTACTATCTGTTGCTTGCTTCTTACGTTTCAAGTTGCATTGGTATGCTGCTTGTATCTGTCATACCCCGCTAACACGTAGACTGTGTACTTGCATATTGCTTTGTGTGGTCTGTGCATAAAAATATATGCATAAATTTCAATATAAATGTATTGTTTTGTTCATGATTAAATTAACTAAATATCAGTAAAAACTCACATGATTAAATCAGTCTTGTTGAGTATTATGTATGCAAAGTGTAATGTTGAGTTGCTTTGCAAGGTACAACCGACATCAAGTTCAGCAGAGGGGGCCAAGGATCTGAAGTCTCTGTCAGGGGGCGAGCGATCCTTCTCCACTGTGTGCTTTATCCTGGCATTGTGGGATGCCATGGAGTCCCCTTTCAGATGCCTGGACGAGTTTGATGTCTTCATGGTGAGTGTATCAACCATTTTGTTGTGTTGTTAATAATGTTTATCTGCCACGTGATCTTGGTTGTACCTGTAATGGACCAGTAGCAGTAATTCTATTGGAGTGAGTGATTGAGTATGGTTTTATGCTGCTTTTTAGCAATATTCCAGCACTATCACGGCGAGGACACCAGAAATCGGTACCTCTATTGGAACCAGAAGCTATACCTCTATTAGAACCTGACCCATGAAGGTCCGGGGTAGAATAGATCTTCAGCAACCCATGCTTGCCACAAAAGGCGACTATGCTTGTCGTAAGAGGCGATTAACGGGATCGGGTGGTCAGGCTCGTTGACACGTGTCATCGGTTCCCAATTGCGTAGATCGATGCTCATGTTGTTGATCACTGGATTGTCTGGTCCAGACTCGATTATTTACAGACCGCCGCCATATAGCTGGAATATTGCTGAGTGCGGCGTAAAACTAAACTCACTCACTCACTCTGTTGGAACGAGTTCCAGAACCTGTATTGGTACAGCTGTACCAGGTCCTCAACATTCTACTGCTTGTGGTATTAGACAACTACAATGTGTGGTCAGCTGCTTGATGATGCTGTATTTCAGGACATGGTGAACCGGCGGATCTCCATGGATATGATGATGGAGGTGGCTCGAGTGCAGACAGGACGACAGTTCATCTTCCTCACCCCACAAGACATGAGGTCAGAAAGCTACAGGATCTGTTTGCCACTTGCATGTCATGACAGACGTGCAGTGTGTTACAGCAGACATACAACTCATTATGCCGACACACAACACTTTTGAGCAGACAAACATTACAGCAGACGCATGAAACGTTACAGCAGATACAGAATACATTGTGGCATGATCTTGCAGACAGATACTTCATACGTAGGATACGCTTATGTAACACAGACGTATATCCAAATATGGGCATAGATGTGATTCAAACACGCTTTTTCAAGATTCAGATATTAAACATGGGTTCAAATTCATATGATGTGATGTAATTCATTTCTTTTCACAAAAATATTTGGTTACATTCTGTTTTCAGTCAACTGAGCATTGGCATAGACTCTCGTATTTTCCGAATGCCCGGACCCTGACAGAGGTCAGGGAGTGTTACCCTTTGGTGATGAAGGTCAGGCTGAGGAGGAAGAAGCGGGATCCTAGTGTTGATGGCGCCCCAGAAGCCTAGTGTTAACACTGTCCCAGACATATGGCATTAGAAGCCTTGTGGCAGACAATGTGCTAGATGCCAAGTGTCATACAGTGTTGCAGAAGCCTACTGGCCAATATTATGCTTGATGCCAAGTCTCAGTGTTTGAGGCATCTAATATCAAACTGTGCTCCAGACAGTGTACCGTACAGAGAAATACGTAATGTGAATGGGTGAAGTAAAAGTAAAGGTGTTGGATTTGCCTTTCTACAGTGTTAACAGTTAACACTGATTGGTTGAACTATGGGCAGTGTTGGGAGCTTTATGACATCTTTAGTTTCCATGGATTCAGTGTTCGTTTTACACTTTCATTCAGTTTTGCAACTTGCTTCGCATTTTCATTTTAATATGCTTACTTTATTGATTGTGAACTATTATTTTTTTATTACTGGGCAAGCTGACTTATTGTGCCAATGGTTTCCTGATGCGATGTGATGTGATGTGACTCAGCCAGCGGAACTGTTAATTTGCGAGAAATAGCTTTTTCTACCAAATGTTTCCTTTTAATCAAGTTTTGTTAACTCAAAAAAATGATTGATTGTTAATGTGTAATGGCTTAATAGTTGATGCGACTGTTTACACCAGTATCCATGGTCATAAGGCAAACTAGTGCTGTTTATGGGCAGCCTGGCCCTTGAAGCAACATCAGCCCTCCACCACACTGGCGTGGTAACTCCGAAGGGAGTACCCAGCAGGTTTCAGGTACACTACACCAGATGTGAAGCTATGTATGCTTCAACACCAGGTGTCATACATCCACAAGTATCCGAGTAACTTGGTGCTCGCTTGCTTCATCCCTGATCTTCCTACAGACATTGGGGACAAACACTACCGTATGTATATTCTTCAGTACCTTGCCCAGAACTGTTCCAATTGAGCTAGCAGACCACAGACTATAGACAATTGAGCTAGCAGACCACAGACTATAGACACGTAGCTGGAACAGGTAGTTCATGCAAAACTTTACCTGCTTGCAGGTGATTCTGGACCCGTTCATCATTTGTTTATTTGGCCAAGTTCATGGCTCTTTTAGAAGGAAACCATCATCAACCAATCAGTGCCTTTAGAACAGAGTGTCATCAGGTTCGTAGTAAGATTTGTAAGACAGTCAACAGCGGAGTCCTATAGAGCTTGCACTGTTTTCACGGTATGTTAGAAAATTGATGTTATGTGTTCAGTGTGGATGAGTGAGTGTTCATGGATAAAATATATTAAAAATTGTTGGTAATATAAAACCTTGTCTTTTTGTTTTTTGTATACCGTGGTAGTTATGTTGACTTTATAAATACATGTGGTAATGAAGATGTAGCAACAACTGATACAGTAATATAGAACACAGCTACTAATATCCATAGCAACACTACTAACTTATAAAGCATAGTTCTCAGGAATCAATTTATAGTTTGGAGAGAATCTGAATTCATGACAGTTGAAGGGACAAGAAGTTTTCAGTTTTTCAAATCTCGGCTATGAAACCACTCACAGTATCACATATTACTTTTGTCAATGTCATTAGTAACGTGAGATAAACCATTTTAGGAACACGCCTTGCATTGTGCATTGATTCTTCACATTGAGTTGAAAAACCTTTACTGGGGGTTTCCCCCAAACAGCAAAAAGGTTTATTTGTTTTTCTTTTATTGTTGATTTACTGTGTGAAGTAATCAAGGGAAACATTGACACAAGAACATCCCATATTTCCAGACTTGTATCTGAACTTATTGATAAAGTTCATATGATGTCAATCTCATTCATTGACAGTTTTGATTGGTACTATGTGGTTTGGGATTGTGATACTCTTGACTGTATACAGTGATCACTGTCCTGGTTGGAACTTTAACAACTTGCAACACAGACATCACATCACAGTACAGTACAGTACAGTACAACACAATTATTTCTTTTTACGTATTGGTAGTGACTACCAGAGGTGGTGAATGCTGTCTGGCACCTAAATGATAGCACTTTCATATAAAACATTCTTTCCACTTCTAGACTTAGGACAAGTTTGTTTGACAATATGATGAGTTTTTCGTCAGTTGGAACTAACTCATACAATATTTGTATTTGTACATCATCCTTGGTCACAAAGAGGCAGTCACTGGTCAAAACTTTCCCAAATCCAATTGCTACAACTCTGCACAAACACATGAAGATTCATAAACATGGTTAGACTGAAAATCTATTGGATGCGTGTAGAAAATCTTTGAGGTCACTTGTAAAGCAGACTGAGGGGTCGTTAGTCTCAAGAAGTGCATGATGATCTGACCTAACAGGTCCACCCTTCTGATGTCTACCTGAAACATCATGGGCCACTGGACTCAGCCTTCAAGGAACATCTGAACAAACAAGTTGGTAAGACCATCTTTCCACTGACCAACACCAGAAACACCATGGACCATCAGAAAACATCACTGGCCGTCAAGGAACACCTGACCAAGACAACCCAGAAACATCTGAACCGTCAAGGAACAACTGTCATCATCTGCTTGTTTCTCTTCCAGTCAGCTTGTTGACAGCCTGTCAGGAGTCCTCATCTGTAGGTTCCTGCTTGATGACAACCTTCTCTTCTTCCGCCTTCAGGGAATACAGCATCTTGTTGATGGTGGCGTAGTCCAGCTGACTGCTGTCACTTCCGTCAGGTTCCACTTGGACCAAATCATCATGCGAGTTTGGAGAGTCAGAGTTGGGGACAAACTGGCGAGATTTTAGTCGACTTGGGAGCACTACGTCAGCAAAGGCAACACCTTCTGTTTAACAATCAAATATGTTATTTATCAATCAGATTGTGTTTAACTGAAATTGCAAACTATTGAGGGTATTATCATATATGCAGTTAAACAAACATCCATTGTCTTGGAAAGAGAGTGAAACGGTCAACAACAGTTTCTGGTTAATGAAACAGCATCCTGATATAGAACTTCATTGTGCCCAATGCTGATCACATCCTACAGAGTTACCTCCCTTGCACTGAATAATAATCGCCCCCACAGTGCTATCCATCTCCCAGTTGTAGAGATGCATGCAAAACCACCTGTCAGCAGAGGAATTGTTATGGCACTATGTCCCTGATGTTGCTCCTCTCCTAACCACATCGCTTCCCTCAAGAACTTGCATGTTCTTTTCCAACATGATACATCCAATACAATTGTGCATTTCTTAAAAGAGTGAGTGAGTTTAGTTTTATGCCCCGCTCAGCAATATTCCAGCTATATGACGGCGATTTTTTTAATGAATTTATATTAAATGGTTTGATATTAATAGAGAATCTCACTCAAGTGTTTTCTGATATCAAATATATCAACACGAGCTGATTTAAGTTACAATTATCTGAGTATTGATATATTTGATATTAGAAGACATGAGGGTGAGATTTTATTTATCATCCAAAATCATTCATCATCAGTTTTCAGTAAAAGAAAGAATTTATCTGAACACAAAACTGCCATTACGCTTCTTGAGCAGTGATATCAGGGAGGTCAGAGCATTGTGATATCATCAGCTTTTATGATATCATAGCATTGTGATGTCATCAGCTTTATGACATCATTGCATTGTGATGTCAAAGTATTGTCAGCTGTGTTCTTAATGATGTCAAAGCATTGTGAGGTCATTAACTGATGATGTAATAGTATTATGACAATTCAATTGATGCGATATATACAATGTAGGTATCGCTTGATCTCACTACTGTGGGAGCCAGTTTTGGATGATAAGATGCCACAAAATATAGCTGACTTCTTTATCGGAAACCTCATCTCCTAACCTGGCAGTACATTTTCAAGTCTAAAATGGATCACTGATACCTGAGAACGTGAAATGTTATTTTCATAGACCACCTATGTCACATGTAACTTTATAGTGACAGAAATTCATGTAGTTGCATTACTTGTTACCATGAGTATATGTTTGAAAGCCCACCTTCTCGTGCAAGTCGCTTGATCTCCTTCCTCCGATTGTTGAACCAGTTGGACACGATGTAGGCTGTGACCCTCTCCCTCTCTGACAGTCTTCGCCCTGCTACAACACACAAACGCCATGCACACATAACTATGGTGATCATTATCCTACAAAACAAACAAACACAATGTATAGATATATATGTTAACAAACATGATGCCAACAAGGGACTAGTCATTTAATAGAGGGGTAATTCTGATGGTACCAAAACAGTAGACACATTTGGCCACAGTTATGTAAAAAGTAGGCATTTCAAAAAGTGCTTTAGCAGTTTGTCTTTCAGGAAGGGTCATCCAAAAATGATGAGCATTGGGAGAGGGTCTAAATTTTCAGTACACTTGTGCTTCAAAAACCACTGACCTGCCCATCCCGTAATAAATGACATGTCTCTTTCTAGTTATTTTCACATCTCACATACATACCATATAAACTTGTGCTTGAAGCACAACCGAGACAACCAGGTCTTGGCACGTTATTGCTGGTCGTAGGAGACCAACTTGGGTCAGGTGGTCAGTCTCCGTGAATGAGTGAGTTCGGTTTGATGTTGCTTTTATTTCAGTTACATCACATAATGTGAGCTTGATGTGGGGGAGGGGGGGACACAAACAGAGAACCTAACCTGAGATTCATACCCATGATAATAATAATAGCATGCTTGTAATGCGCTGTTCTCCATGTACAACATGCTCAAAGCGCAAGACATAGAAGTACATACAAACAGACTATAGGAGAGAATAATAGATTTGAGAGATACATGGAAACAAAGCAATGAATTATCGTTTACACTCATAAACTAATCTGAAAAAGTGCGTCTTTAGTAAAGATTTAAAATAAGAAAGTTCTGTACAGTCACGTAGATATTGAGGTAGTTGATTCCAGGCTGTAGAGGCTGCATACGAAAAGGACCTTTCACCATACATAGAAGTCCTAACAGTGGGGATAACGAGGAAACGTTTATCCTGTGAACGGAGAGAGCGACATGGGCGGTGCTGTGTGAGGGACTGGGCCAGATACGAAGGGGCAGATCCAGACAGACAGCGGAAAGTGAGGCACAGAAGCTTGAATTGAATCCTATAGTGAATGGGCAGCCAGTGTAAAGAATGTAGGAGTTTCAGAGCATCATCAGATTTACGGATCCTTGTGGAACCCCACACGTAAGATATGATGGGTCAGATGACAGCTTGTCAATGATTACACACTGACTTCTATCGGACAGGTATGATTTAAACCACTCTAAAGCTGTTCCATCGATGAGAAATTCCAACCTCAGACGTTCCAGGAGTTTGCAGTGATCGATGGTGTCAAATGCACTGCTTAGGTCAAGAAGTGCCAAGACTGCGAGATTCTTGTTATCGATGCCAAGCCGAATGTCACTGATCACTTTCAGCAATGCAGTCTCGGTGCTATGATGGCTACGGTAGGCGGACTGTAGATGATCATGAAGGTCATGTTTATCAAGATGTTCAGAAAGTCGTGTGCATACAGCACGCTCAACTAACTTGGAAAGATAACTGAGATTAGATACTGGCCGGTAGTTGCCAAGCAGATCAAAGTCTAAGTTTGGCCTTTTCAGGAGTGGCTTCACTAGAGCTGACTTAAAGGAAGACGGCATAATTCCATATTCAAGACTAATGTTGATGATTTTTGTAAGAGTCGGATTTAAAAGATCAATGTTATCAAGGATGATGGATGTCGGCACAGGGTCCAAGTCACAGGAAGTAGGATTGGACTTCCGGATAATTTTCAACACTTCATCACAGGTGAATTCATTGAAAGTAACCAGTTTCTCCGAGCAATCATCAGTTAGTTCAGTAGAAGGCGTATCCGTGCTGGTCTCACATTCGCCAGAAGAATCTGCAGACATCATGCCAGCACGCGTATCTTGGCAATCTTCTCTGTAAAGAATTGCTGGAACCGGTTAGGCAACAGCTCGGGAGAGTCTGTTTTCGGCAGTGGTGAAGTGAACTCCTTACCAAGAAGGCGGGACATGAGTCTGTACAGTGATCTTGTGTCAGACATTGAATCCTGGATTTGAGAGTTCAGTGACATCTGTTTGGCCTGCCTTATCAAAGACGCCACTTTATTTCGCGCAACACAGTAAATTTGCCTGTGGATTTCAAGATGGAAGCGTCTCCAGGCTCTCTCAGCACGGCGCCTGGCTTTCTTCGCAGCAATAACTTCCGGTGTTACAGACAATGGTGTAACAGGGCGATCTGTTACACGCTTAGATCTAAGAGGGGCATATTTATCTAAGAGTTCAATGAGGACACAGTTATATTTGTCAATGAGTTTGCTAATATCAGACGGTGGATTCTGTATGAGATCAGAATTTGACAAATCACGTCTAAGCATCTCGATCTAAATGTTTTAGATTCCGACACTGAATGAACTTTTTTGGGAGTGGAGGTTTGTCTGTATCAAGTTCGAAAGAAACAAGATAATGGTCAGAAATTTGGAGGTCAATGACAGAGGGATTCAGGACACAACACTGATCTTTCAAAGTAACTACCCAGTCTAAGCAGTTACCACGATTATGTGTGGGCGCAGACACACCTTGAATACATCCAGACTTTTGAAACAGGTCAATCATCATGCCTGTACATCTGTGGAATGTTGACTCAAACAGTCATCATGCCTGTACATTGTGGAATGTTAAGTCAAGCAGTAGTGTGTAGGTCGTATGTAGAGAACTGGGTGGGAACAAAGCAGCCTGATGATCCTGTAACAGGACAATGCGTCACCTTTCACCACAATGCGTCACCGTCTTTAAATGGAGATGAACACTGTCTCATTTTCTTTGTTTGAAAGCTTGCTCACTCCCTCATTCATGTTTCAGAGACTTCATGCTGCATACTTACAAACGACTTTCATGACATCATTGCACTTGACAGCAATCAGTTCACGCTCCTCGTTTGATGGGTATTGATTGGCTCGGGAATGCTTCTTCCAGAATCTCAATGTGCTTCTCTCGGAAGGTGAAGCGCTCACGACGTGGTATGGGCTCGCTGCCATGGATGATGGTGAAGTGGCTGTCCTGCATGCTGGTGTCCAGGCTCATCTCTACCACAGAGGGTAAAGAAGGAAAGACATTATAGTCCCCATCAGAGAATTACACAAACATGTTTGGACAGAAATGTTACAGCAGATAACAATCTATGTCTGTTCTCAGGTCCACATTTTCAAGTCAATAATAATACATGGACTCATGCTGCAGAGGCTGCAAGAATCAGCAGATTCTTCTTCAGAAGAGGTATAGGCATTTCTGGATATTTTCAATGTCCTGTCACAGTTGTAACTATGCTGTAAAAAATATTGTACAATAACATAACGTGTTGACAAGCATGGTGCCATTGTGACCACCTGGTGTTCCTACCTGGTGTCCTGATGTTGGGAATGATCTGTACAACCGGCTGCCCTGTCCCCTTCCTGTGTACAAGAGCTGCCTGCGGCCTTGACATCAAAGGTTTGCTCGGCATGTATGTAGTGGTGCCTGCCTTCTGAAGCTGCTTTAGGTACCAGATGTAGATGGAGCGTCTCTGGTTGCTGGAGATGTCCACAGTTTCCCCCTGGAGGAAGCGGTTGATGGTGGAGACTGATAGTCCTGGAACAAAATGAGCGAATCCATCAGTGGAACTCCAAGCCACAGTTTGAATGAAGACAGCCCTGGAACAAGACAAATCCATCAGTGGCACCTCCAAGTGTCTGTGAAGACAGGATTTATCCATCAACTTCAGTAATTCTTTCTGTACACGTACCAGTTTCTTGCACTTCAGTCCTGCCCTACAACGAAGCACACGTCATACATGTGGTCTCACCTTAGGCAAGTGAATTTGTTCAAAATTGCCTCTGTGCACACATCAGAAAATGGGTACCCAGTGAAATAAGTCGTGAGACTATTAACCTTCTAATGCCTAACAGGCAGCTTGGCTTATCCGAGGTAATAAAGATCAGATTGTGCGCTTTGAGCAGGATATCTAGCCAGGAAAAGACATGTTATAAATATTCTCATTATTAATATCATTACAAGTTTAATTTATCAATCCACAACTGGATAACGGATAACTGTTACACAGACTCAGTGTGAGTGAGTGAGTTGAGTTTTCACCATGTTAACCTCATGTCAAGTAGAACCCAGAAGCTGGACACAACTAAATGCCTGAGGTGTGACAAAATCGTAGTCTTGAATCCTTGAATCCGAGTATCACCCTGAGTTAGATTTTTGTACTGCCAGCACCTCTGTAAGGTGAGACCAGCATCCCTCTTCCACACTCAGTGGACTCATAGAAATACTGGCATTTATCCCGACTCACACCTTAGTTATAGAAGATCAACACCCTGTGATATGACTGCTATCCGGACAAGCACCTTAGTTATAGAAGATCAACACCCTGTGATCTGACTGCTATCTGGACTCACACCTTAGTTATAGAAGATCAACACCCTGTGATATGACTGCTATCCGGACAAGCACCTTAGTTATAGAAGATCAACACCCTGTGATCCGACTGCTATCCGGACTCACACCTTAGTTATAGAAGATCAACACCCTGTGATATGACTGCTATCCGGACAAGCACCTTAGTTATAGAAGATCAACACCCTGTGACTGCTATCGGACTCACACCTTAGTTATAGAAGATCAACACCCTGTGATATGACTGCTATCCGGACAAGCACCTTAGTTATAGAAGATCAACACCCTGTGATCAGACTGCTATCTGGACTCACACCTTAGTTATAGAAGATCAACACCCTGTGATCTGACTGCTATCCGGACAAGCACCTTAGTTATAGAAGATCAACACCCTGTGATATGACTGCTATCCGGACAAGCACCTTAGTTATAGAAGATCAACACCCTGTGATATGACTGCTATCCGGACAAGCACCTTAGTTATAGAAGATCAACACCCTGTGATCTGACTGCTATCCGGACTCACACCTTAGTTATAGAAGATCAACACCCTGTGATATGACTGCTATCCGGACAAGCACCTTAGTTATAGAAGATCAACACCCTGTGATCCGACTGCTATCTGGACTCACACCTTAGTTATAGAAGATCAACACCCTGTGATATGACTGCTATCTGGACTCGCACCTTAGTTATAGAAGATCAACACCGTGTGATCTGACTGCCATCCGGACTCGTACCTTAGTTATAGAAGATCAACACCCTGTGATCTGACCGCTATCCGGACTTGCACCTTAGTTATAGAAGATCAACACCCTGTGATCTGACTGCTATCATTACCTGTTTTGTCCGCAATGATTGGCACCCTGACACCAGCCATTGTTACCATGGTGATGATTTCTTCAAGTCTCTTCGGAGCTGGCATTCTGTCAACATAGAAAATACAGCTGTGTCAAAAGCATCCCCCACAAAAACTTGGTATTGACCTGTTGACTAAAATTGTTACATATCTGCTGACTAAGGCTAAGTGTTGGGAATTGGTTGAAATCTCACAATTGATGATAGCTTTATTACCAATGAAGAATCAGCGAAAAAAATTGGTTAGCGTCATTTTACAGATTTTCCTATCCAGGTTGTTATTGCAGATATATGTATAACATGATGCAACATGATACTCTAAAGTGATGACTAATATAGCAAGAGCATAAACTTCCTGGAGAAATATTCAGTCACGACTTTTCAGTTGGTGAAGTGAGTTTTCTAAGAATCAAACAAGTTTTCAGGACCTGACAACTTCTATGATATGTTCCATCGTCAAGTGTTTCAAAGACTAAAACAGCAGTTCCAAAATCGTTTGTGTTCGATTATGAGAACATCTGATCGATTGCTTGGTTGTTTGGTCACTTGGACCAATCTTCGATTATTTCAATTAATCGGAACACCACTACTAAGGCTCCTTGCATACTTAGGCTTCCCATAATTACTTGGATTACAGATTTCTTTTTATAAAAGCCATTGCCATTGCTCTAATTTCTTGATAAGGTTAATAGCAAGGTACACTGGGTGAAATGAAATATACTCCCCATCAAAAGTTTAGACTCACTAGTGTAAATGTAGCCACTCACTTCAGTCAACTGATCTAAATTAGATTTTGCAAAATATTCTATACAGTTTAAGGGTACTGTTTACACATGAACTGATGTATTGTAAAACAAATTCGTAACGTTGAAGAGATTATTGTCATGAGTTCAATAAATGATGAAACTCAGTGAAAATTGGCGAATGCTCAAAAAACACTTTTCAGCAATTTGATGCATGATCCTCGTGCAATTCATCTGCATAAGGTTTGCAGTTGGTTCCCCCAAGTTAGTGGAGAAATTCATCTTCGATGTAACTACATATATATACATAACATATAGTGAGAGCTTTAAGTGAGTCTAAACTTTTGATGGGTGGTATAGATAGCATGTGCTGCATGAAATGTTTGTTAGGTCACAGTTGCCTCCCTTCCAACCGCCACCTTCAGAGGTGTTGTCGAGGAGGAGACTTCAGCTCTGAAGTAAACAAACATACAAAACATGGTACTAACTTCATGAAGTCATCCAGTCTGGCCTTGAGGTCATCATCGATCCCAATGGAAGTAATGTTCTGTGGACTGACCAGTTCACGCTCCTCAAAGGAATGTACAACAATCTCCTCCTCTCCAAAACCTCCCTCCTCCTCATAGCTATCATCTCGACGACGCTTGACCCTTGACACCTCTGTAGAACTTGATGCTTTGGCTGACTGACATGGCGTCGACTGGTTTAATGTCACAGTGCCCACTGGAGCCAGACACTGGGGGACGGTGTACAGGTGTCCCAGTTCGGCATCAATGCGGCTGAATGCATCAAAGGCCTGGATTACCTGCTCTTTGGTGATGCCGCTGTTCCTGAGGCGTCGGATCAGCTCGATCTGCTCGACAGTGAAGAGGGCTTGTCCGGCGCCAACAGACACCATTGGTAGAGACATGACTGCCCAGCACGTCAGGCTATGAAAAAGACATCACAAGTCATATAAGTATATCATAATACAGGTATGCTGAGTCTACAGAGCAATCCATTGCCCTAAACACTAAGTTTAATGCATCCAGTAATACAGTTGCTTGTTACCTAACCCAACTTCTCCTGTGCCAAAAACATTAAACCTAAAAACAATGCACATACATGTATTCACAGAACAACAGTGCAGTTAGACCACAAGTTTTTAACATCAAGAAATAACTTCTATGAAATATTCACTGAGAACATTCAATATAACAAAGAGTATTATTCACATCTAGTGTAAACAGTAATCCAAATCCCACATTCATACACTGAAATAGTGCTGTATTTGCACTAGTGCTGGGAATCGGTCAAAAAGTCTTAATTGATGATTGGTTCATTACAATGCCCGATCAATCATCGAAAATAATTGGTTAGCATCATTTATGAAATTTTCCTGATTATTTTTGTTAATGGACAAAAAAAATAAAGAAAAAACCCTGTAGTTCTTTGGTGTTTTTGCAAATTGCACAAAAGGCATTGGCAAATTTCACATCTTTAAAGGATGACTAGTAGGTTAGGAACATTAATTTCTTGGAGTCTTGAAGATAAATTCAACCATGCCTTGGAATGAGCTTGTAGTGGTCATGAAATGTAACACTAACAGACAAAACCAACCTTGTGAAACATATTGTTAATGCAAACAAGTGTTCCAGAATTGTTTGTGTTCGATTATGAGAAAACATGATCGATTGCTTGGTCGTTTAGTCACTGTGACCAATCTTCGATTATTTCAATTAATCGGACCACCACTAATTTGCACTGGTGTTACTAGGAAGTCTGTGTTAATTTATCAAAATCCTGTTTGAATGTCCTTTTCTCTCTCACTCACTCAGCAACTTGAACTTGATTCATTGCCATGCTACACTGTATCTGTCAGGGATCTATCTGGGATGCTAAAGTAGATGCTCTTGAAAGGCGAACTGGGAAAAAGTCATGTATTTAAAGTTGGTACTTTCTCACAGTCCTTAGTTTCAGAATTTAAGATGTATTTCTTCATATTTTACCACTGCATCAGTGTGATAAAGCAACATTAAGCACTATATGTATTGCTTCTGTTATGAGAAATAGACAAGCACACAACCAAACCATAGCAACAGCTATATTATCTACATGGAACATGTTTAATTTCCGGGGGTGTTCTGTTTCTTATCAGGATTTGTTAAATAGGAAGTGATAATAAGTTTCACACCACCAACCTTGTTGTTGTTTCCTAGTTAAAATGGTATTTATGTATGTTAAGTGGCTTCACTCAAATAGTGTATGTAACTTGCATGTGGAAACTGTTGCCAAAAAATTATTCATGTTTATAAATAACATGGTAATAGAAAATTAATAGCGGTATTTGTGTTAATTTTGTTAGATTTATGGCACCAAAGAAATGGCCTAGTTTTATATCAGCTATGAACACGTGAAGACAAAAAAACAGCTTCAGTATTAGTACATAAGTACTGACTGGTATTGTTAGTGACATTGGTAGCTGGACGGCTGATTGGGGGGTGAACTCTTCCGAGTGGAATCCAGCGAACCGCCCCAATTGTCCAGGACTTATGGGCGTGATCTCCCAATTTGTCTCTTCCTGGCTCAGGTATAACAGTCAACAAAGTCTACACGTTAAGTATGGGGATTCCCCGGGTTTAAAAATAGATCTAGTTAAGCACTTGTAACATTACTAAACATTACATTGTAATTAATTACGTTGAATCTTTTTTTATATTTCTTAGTTAATAGAAAACGGCCGCTCAAAGCGCTAACTACTTAACGAGCACATCGGCCGCCATGTTGGTTAGATTGGTTAACTTACCAACTCGCAGCAACGCGCCTAACTGCGGCTCCCTCCGTGCCATGTAACGCTCTCCACCATGCGTTATACTCTAGTTAGACATTACGGGACCAACATTGCTGCACTCGGGTGTAAACGTGCATTTATTATCGATAGTGTTTTTATCGAAACCACGCATCGCCCCACTTGCTAATCTCACTAACCAGGTTAACAGCGGCCGTTCCCACTAACCCCATCACGTATGAGACAGTGGTAACTATGGAACGGTCCATTCTCAGCAGATTGGGGGTCATGGGGAGAGCACTGGTTTACGAGTGCGCGTGTACTGCTTTCGAATTATTCAACTTGACAAGTTATTTGCCGAAAGTCTGAGAAATTTTTATAAAAGCGTTAATATGATAATATATTTGTTGTATATTTTTAACTATTTTTATGCAATAGAGAGTTATATTTTGACAGAATGAAAAAAACCTGTTATTTCAATTAAATTCTACAAATCAGGTATTACTATGATATCAGATAAGATACGTTATCTATATTCCCCAACGTGTGTACATATATTACATTACCAGCCAATGTGCGTTAACGATTTTGTGCATTTTACAGCATTGTTGACATATTGCACATATCATTGTTTACATAATACAGATTGCACATTTATAATGTCATAATGTCTTGAGACATCATAATAGCGTCACAACGTATCGTGGTGACGTCATAGTTCGGTGACAGGTGAACATTGGACTTGGCTTTGCATGTGTTTGTGATGGGTGGCACCGTTCACCTTTTGGTGCGTACACCTGATATCATCACTATTTGATTGGAGATTCATAATTTATCATCTAAAAGTGGGTTCCACGGGAGATATTGCTGGTGTGAGATCATACGATATCTCCTAGGATATATTGTTTTGACATTAGATTTTGTAAAATGCCCTGACAATGCTATGACGTCAGAGCCTGATGACGTCACAATGCTATGACATCGCTACACTGCAAGTCGTACAGTGTTCAGAGATGTACATTTTTCATTGAAAACTAATGAAGAGTGATTTTTGATGATAAATAGAATCTCACCCTCGTGTCTACTGATATCAATTATATCAACACTCGTTGATAAAGGTAACAATATTTTCGGCATGCCTCGGATATTTGTAACTTTATCAACTCTTGTTGATATATTTGATATCAGTAGACACTTGGGTGAGATTCTCTATCTAGTACAATCGACTTTGCTTTTAGCAGAGATTTCTTATGGATGTGGAAAGGATTTTGTCGCTTTTAATATTACGATATAGTAGGAAGCCTACAATGGCAGATTGGGGCGTTCGGGTAACATAAAGGATGGCCTGTCTGGGTTTTATAACTATTCTCTGAAGCCAATTCCTGGTGCCATAACACTCCCTCCGAAATGTCAATGACATAAGGAATAAGAAAAACAATTCTATTAAAAAATCTAAATTCAGTATGGAGGGTCTTTAACCTACTGACGAAAGCTCTCTTTTTCTTTTGTGGTAACAAATTGGGCGTAATTTGTCAATGACAGGTTTATTCAAGGCAAAATCTACTTGAGCACGTTGATAAGAAAACGTGTGTTTTTCAAAGTCCTTTTTGAAGTATGGTTAATTATTTTCTCCTCGAGTGTCAGTAGTTTATGGCCTTTTTCACCAACAGCTTTGTTCCTAAATATAACTTAACTTAACCTCAGCAATAAAGAGGGCCGCCTTGACACATTATCGATCTCACTACCGTAGGAGGACAATGGAACAGCCAGAACAGCGTAGCCACTCGTGACGAATCCGTAGCCAGGCTGTGTTTGGTTTCTATGCGCTGCTAGCCAAGCCAGGAAGCCATAATCGCGTCGCTCGGCCCAGTAAATGTGACAGAACTGTAGATAATTGATGAATTTGACGTGAAGACAAATGTTTTGACGATTATTTGAGTGTACATCTACAATTGCGAGCATGCGGATATGTTTGTATAGCCTGACAACGTGAGATTGTAATACGGAGGGGCATGTTGAGGTGATATACGCCACAGGTGAAAAGTCAAGTGTTTGTGGGGAGAGAATGGGCAAAACAACCGACGGAGGTGGTATCGGAGTGACAGACAAAAACAACATTATGGAGGAAGGAAAGAAGGACGCACCATCTGAACCTGTCATTCAGAATGACGAGTCCAATAAACACGTTGACGTGCCGGAGAAGGAGACCCCGCGAGAGGAAGAGACGGGTAAGAGTGAGGAACTTGTCGACAATGATGTAGGGAAGATTTCTGTAGAAATAAAGAAGTCAATCGCAGGGGACAAACCGGAGAGCATCAACCAATTCGACTCTGTGTCAAACGACAAAGCTAAGGAACCCCCGCAAGTCAAGGACCCAGAAAATCCCAAGAAACCTGAATCCGACAAAATAGAACCTCTCAAAACGCAAAATTCTACAGCGAGTTCAAAGAGCAAGAAACCGAAGAAGGGGATATTCGTGTCATACTCCCCAGACGCTGGGTTCCTGGAGCGGAGATTCGTGGTAGAAACAGCCCAGCAACTTAAGGAAAACAACCTGGCAGACGACCTTTGGTTTGACAAAGATGAGAAGAACACGGGAAGTCCATGCTGGTTTTCTCTAAGAATGGAAGCTGTGGAGAAATGTCGAGCAGCTATCCTCATATTATCCGACAGTTACTTCACGTGCCCTGTGTCTGTGTACGAGGGCAAGGCGCTGATAGACAGGCATAAGACAGACCCCTCGTCAGTTCGCCTCTTCCCAATTCTGTTCAATAACATAGAAAACAGCGAGGTACCAAAGCATTACAGTGGCATCCTGCACGATGCGGTAGATCTGACTGTTCACGCAAAGTTAAGTCTGGCGGAGAAGACATCTATTGTGATTGGTTCTGTGATGGAAGAGCTGGAGAAGTTTGCAACACTGGCCTCTCCCCCTACCCCGTTGTGTGCACCCGACGCCGAGTTCACCGGGGAATACAGACGGAAGAAGATCTGTCAGTGGAATGTGGGAGACTTGCAGGAATGGTTGTTCAAACTCGGAATCAAAGAGTTCTACCGCCAGAGTCTTGCCGAGAACATGGTGGACGGGTTTCTGCTCATGTCGCTGACCGACCACGACATGGTCAAGTACCTTGGGGTGGACAGTCGAGTGGTCAGGAAGAAGATCATGCAACAGATCTTACAAACGCTGGACAAGGAACACAAACAGCCAGACAACTGGCACTTGCGGGCACGTGCACAACGTGCTAAACCTGACGTGGTATATGTGATTTATGACCCAGCAGACGTCAGGCTGGCTCAGAACATCAAGGCAGATCTCAGGAAGAAGAACTTACAGGTGGGTAATAGGAAAAGCCATCATATGTTTAGTTTTACTCAGAGATGATGCATTGATGTACTAGTTACTTAACCATGTTTATTAGGATTATTATGCCCCTTCAGAAATTGTATGATATGTAAAATATTCAAGTCAAGGGTTTCTATTAGACTTAACGCATCTGAGAGATAAAACTGAGGGTCATTAGTCATTAGGATAGTGTTAATAATATCACAAAAAACCTGCAGGAAATTCCTGTATCCAAGACTAATAAATCAACATTTGATCTCTAAAATTTCAAAATGATGAATATTTATGTACACATTTTCTTATATAAAAGATAGTCGCCTGAATTCTATGTTTGAAGTTCATGGATTGATCGAGAGAGTTTTCCTGTTTTGTTGTATACCGTTTATACAGATTTTGACTTTATTGGTGAAAAATATTTCACCTAAAACACAACTTCCTGATGATGACAACACACTGTCAACTATTGCTTTTATACACATGGAAAGAATGTGCATTGAATTATTAGATTCTCTTTGTAATAATTTAGATCAACATATTTTAGCATACACTGACAATTAACACACCAAAGAATGACTATAAAATATTTCCCCACTTTTAATAAAAGACCAGTGGTCAAAGTGGGGCCATTTGAGTATATTTTGAGAAATGCCATGTGATACGTAAGGGGAATTTTCGCAGCTGTGGAAAATATTTCAAGAACAGCTGTTACGGCAATAAACTCCCCAGGATGGCATATATGGAACCTGTAGGATAATATAGCATGTTGGTTTAGGAGATTTCAGTTCCTGCTCAGTCTAACCAATAAGACAAAATCGTAATATGTGTTATAAACCAGCCTCAGGTTGGGTTGGTGACTTCAACAACAAAGCCCCCCAGCCCTACTGTCAGGAGTAACAAGAAATCACTTCGAAAAACTTGTTTGGCATGCTGAAAAAACACTGAAATAATGTTTTGATAGAAAGGCTGTCTTCAGTTGCCCTAAAACTGGCAGTAGTAAGTCATCCCTTAGTCATTTTGTTGTAATTCAACACATTTGTTGGAGAGCCCTGACACAGGGGATGAGTAGAATTCTGAGTAATCAGTAATTAAATAACTGAAGCAAACATATTTACTTGCAATAGAATAGTAAAAATATCAAACCGAAATTCTTGTCATTTTATTGTCAACAGAGACCTATTTTTCTTGTTTTGATAAAGTTTACCAAATACTGAGATTTGCCATGGGTACTATGTGTGAAGCCCATTTCTGGTGCCCCCCACCGTGATATTGCTGGAATATTGCTAAAAGCGGAGTAAAACCATACTCACTCACTCACTGAGTTTTGCATTCATTCTCCACTTAAAGCAGGTTGGTCAATGTCCACAGTTGCCTAGGACAGACACTCAGTGACAGTTTGTTGAAACAAACATGCTGTGAATAGAATGTCCATCACCAACATGGATGAGACCAGAAAAATGTATACTGAAAAACATTTGTCTTCAATATCCTCCATGTAAATAATAATGAATTATACAGTAGATGCTGAGTACTGTCAAATGGTATCTGAGAGTACTCGGCAACACAAACACCTCTGTTAGGAAGGTATTGAACCAGGAACCATGGCAACATGCCTGGAAACCATTTCTGTTGTCTGACCTGAGTGTCGTGTTATGTCATTATCTCACATAATTACTTATACGGAATGAATATTATTGGAAAATAATAAATCACGTTTAACGATCGATTTCTTGACATGAAACTGAAATCTATTCCTCCGTAAATTATATTAACTGAAACACAAACTGCTACACATGTTAAACCCACATTATGTTTGTCTATGGTATAATTTGCTTCACCAAGAAAACATGTTAGTAGTTGTGTTGTTCCATAGAATGTGTCAACGTGATCAGTGATGGGTAAATAACAACCAAATTAAAGTCGTACACTAAAAACAGGATCATGTGACACATGGCATGGTAACTAGCAGTCCAGCATTGTTCTGGAGGGTGTACACTGACAGGCTTAAAGATGTGTTCTGTATGTACTAGCGGCCACTGATCCCACAACTGATTGTGTTTAACCGATCAGCGTAGGTGTTGCCTGTCAATGGTGATGATCCTAATGATTGTTTCAGGAAATATGTACATAGGATGGCTGTTGTGTTTACTACATTACATGATTGTCATGATTATAGTTAGGTAAAATAATTTGTTTAGTAAATAAAGGTGGGTGTGAACTGATTTGATTATTATCAGCATTATCTGTTTAAAAAATGTCTGCATCTGAAGAGGCATTCTGATAGTTTGTAGCAACTGAGTCTGATATTGACTCATTTGACGCTTTGTCTCTGAATATATATAATTTGTATACTAACAAACAGTCCCATTGAAATTGAAAAAGAGCCCCAGTGAGACTGGACTGAACCTGAGGAATATAGACTTTTAGCATGTTTAGGGCTTTACCATTGCAGGGAGGCTTAGGCAGTAGAGAAAATAATGTAGTTCAGCCACTGTGAGACAGACAATAGACTCATGAACATGCCATTATTTTTTGCGAATTTGAGAGTAGTTAATGTAAAATTATTTGGATGGCTTGTTGTGGAGTGAATAACATCAATAATGACCTAGCTGACTGCTACAGTGTGGCACAATAGACAAATACAACGCTGTGTAAGCATTATGTAACAAACTACAATGTAATACTCTGCAACAAGATGTGTACACAGATATTAAGTAACACTGTCATGCATTACACACTGACATCAGTATCACTAATACTACAACTGCCGCATACTATGAATAAATATTTCCATTTATCGCCAGTTGTGGCGTCCATTGTTTACCATGAAGCATTAGACTATAAGCCCAGGCAATGGTGTATGTACAGTGTGTCTACTCAGAGCTAATATTGTATGGAACAATACACCCTTAGTGTACACTTACTGAGGTATAACTGAAGTTATTACCAGACACAATACTTGTAAAATATTCCCATCAGAGTTGCTGAACCAGTTAATACCAAGGGACTCTATAAGGGGTTCTTCTTTTGGGGAAATATAGGATTGTTTTTGTGTGTAGAAAGCATACAATTGTCTTGAAGGGAGTATTGAACAGTATTACCATGATTACAGGAATTAATTATGGATTGTCTTTCTGTTGAGTATGTTACAGTATAAAGGGAATTAAAGCATTGTCTTCTTAGGGAGTATGTTACTGTATTACAGGAATTAAAGGATTGTCTTAATGGACTATAGTAATGTCTTTAGGGGAATTTAATATTGTTTTTGAGGGACTGTGGGATTGTGTTGGGTAATTATAAGATTATCCTTGTTGGACTGTATTTGGGGAATTACTGGGTTGTCTTTAACATGTTTAAGGTAGTATAGGATTATCATTAAGCGAGTTTAGGTCTGTTTTTAAGGGAGCATGGAACTTTAATGAAATATGGGAGTGTAATAGCAGAACTAAAGGCTTGTCTTTAACATGTTCAAGGAGACTGAATTGAGGGAAGTATGGGATCATATTTGGGGAAGGATAGGACTGAATTAGGGAAAGTTTGAAATGTTGTCTTTTATAAAGCCCTTGGTTTACATGTCACACCGAAGACCCAAGTTCAATTTCATGAATGGGAACATTGTGTGAAGCCCACATCTGGTGTCTCCGGATGTGACATTCATGATTCCTGATGCAACAAAAAAACATTCTCTCTGACTCTTTCTCTCTCTGTCTGTCTGTATCTCTTTCTCCCTCCTTCATTCACTCACTCACTCACTCACTCACTCACTCACTCACTCTGCAGGTCATGCACTGGAGTTGCGACCTGTCATGACAGGGTGTAAACAATGGTAAAGGAGTATAAGATTTGTGAGTAAACAGTGTCAGTTACAAAACTTGTTTGTTTTCCAGGTCATTCACCATGATGGATTGAAACTGGGCAGGTCTAAAGAAGAGTTCCTTCAAATCAATGGCCCCCAAATCGCCACAGCAACCCATGTGATTGTTCTTATGACCGAAGCATCTACAGGGTCACCGTTTGTCTTCCACGAAGTCCTGTTTGCTGATTGGCTGGGGAAGAAGCTGGTGACGTCTATGTTCAAGAATGTTTGGACCAATCTAAGAGTGTCCCTGAAGGCTGTCCTCGGTAAGCATTGTAAAGACTAAAGTGTAGTAAATCAAGTGGGCACAGGTAACTCTGTTGTCTGAGGAACTGCAATTCACTACGATGAGTTGTGTCCCTTAGGTGTGCCAGAATCTTGTGTTTATGGTTTTAAATCCTTGTTACCCCTGATTGTGTTTCAAGGTTGTCAGCACCATATCCTTGCTCGTGGGTTTCAGAATTGTGATAAATGTCTCAGACATGCATTACTTCAGGCTTTCCTCCTGTATCAAACGGACCTGATTTGGTAGAACTGAAACGATGTTGAAAGCAGCGCTAAACCTGAACTCCCACACTCAAGATGTACAAGTATTTTGATGTGATGTAATTTATCAATACATTTATTGGTTGGTTGGTTACTGTGGCAATATTCCAGCAACATGACAGTGACCTAGAATTTAGCAGGCAAGGGCCATTCAAACCAGTGATCAGGGGGTGGAAATAACTTTAAAATTGTTCGTGAACTCCGGTACAGTGGCACATGTAAAATCACTTGCCCTGATAATTTGTCCACTATACTGGCCGATTTTCTTTTTGATTTTTTAAATAAACAACATAATTAACATTGGAAAGTTAACTGGACACCGGTACTGTGTGATATACAAATTTGCTTGCCCGACAGAAAAAAACACTAGACTGGGACGTCGGGCAATGGGTTATTTCCACCCCCTGGTGATTGATGTCATGAGCAACAGTCACAGGAAACATATTCTAACCTGGGAGGGTTGGCACAGAATCATCCAGGGAGCAAGTGTTATTTGACATAAACATCAATTGTCAAACTATTGTTTTCCTGTTGGTTGTGCAAGAGTTCCAAAGTCATTGGTCGTTTGATTGGTTTGTGTAATACTGAAATTGATGAAAACCATCGTTATAGGTGAGTGTCCAGCCATTGACTTCGAGACCAAGATGTACACGGAGAGTCTGGATGTTCTAGAACACCACATCAAGCCACTGCGCCGTGTTCCTGGTGTGGTTCTGGAACAGACGTACCTGAACAAGATGGCTGATGGACTAAAGCCACTGGAGGTGCTAGCTGGCTGCCGAAGTAGGTAGTAAATCACCACCTGTCTCTCATCTGTAGCATGTGTGTGTGTTTGTATGTGGTTGTGAAGGCATGCCCGCTATCAAAGTCAAATTATACAGAATTTCTGCAGTTGTTCACTTCCCGATCCGCCTGTTACCTGCTACCATCTTGTCGACAGTTTTCTATACCATGCACACATCATGGCATTACACATGATGCTTAGTTTTCATACAGGAAGCACATTGATGTTAAGCCACATCTCCCAAAGATATTGAGTCCATTCTCAAACTGTCCCTGATTAGACCCAAGTACCATCAAATACTAGTGTGAGAGTCCAACACTCTATGTTCAAACACATGGATATTTCAATCAACCACATCAAGGCTGTTTCAGTTGATTTTGGTGTGATACGAGCATATCCTATCGTAATGATTTCAAATGAGTTCAAATATTTTTACCATCATGAATTATGTATCATGAAATATGATATTTTTCTCAACCATGTAAGTGTTAAAAAAATCTAAATAGAAAATCTATTCTTTGGACATTTGACTGCAAGGAAAGGTCTCATTTTTTTCTCCAATTTGAGGCATATTTTTAAAAAAAACATCACAGAAATAGGAGCTTGACTGGTATATCTCTACCCCCCATTACCCAAGGATATCGAATGGTTGCTCCCTTAGCTCTTCTGAAGTTAATCTATGGTCAGCTAAGTCTTAACTTTTCATCTGTCATGCATATGACGTATATCCTCTGAAATTTTGTTTAATTGTTACTGATTTTTTGATAACTGAAATAAAATATGAAATACACAATGCCATGAAATAAAATATTTTTGGAAACTTACAGACACTGTCTGCCAATGTTGCACATGTTGCAAAAAGAAGTTGAACATGTTTTTCTTGCACACTGCCTCAATATATTTTTGCTGTCTTGATATTCATTAAGCTTACACTTGACAACAGAGCTGAAGGAACGACAACCGAGATTCACACATTTTTAAACCACAATAAAATCACTCATTAAGATTATCTGAGTATTTCCAGGTTACACTGCAACGGTGTGTGTACTATATTGGTGTCACTAAGGCTATGATATAGATATATCTGTACTGCTGAACTGACACTGTGTTGTAACATCTTGACACATCACCAGCTTTCATGCACAAGCAGGAGCGCTTTCTTCACGCTTCATTTTGACTGACTTATCTCTGCTGGTAGTCAGACAATATTCTCAGTTCAAAATTTATACTCAGGTTAAAACTTGCACCCTTTTTTAATCCTTTAATATCATCATTATTGTTTTAAACAGGATCACAGGTGATGTATAATCATTTTAAAGCCTTCTCTAAATTTGTGTTACCGGTATATACAGTCCGTTTGGCTCAAAAGCGGACCGATCGATGAATTGCAATCTAACTCGAAAACTAATAAACATAACATACTCAATGAAACGCTGATCATAATCAAAACATCATACCCACTCTGTGAGGTTTTTGCAGAATTTTTGTCCTAAAAATAAAAAAGATGTTTAACAAACTATCATTAAAATATTGACACAGTTCACTGTTTGTTACGAGGAAGGAGTGCAGAGAAAGGGACAGCCAGGTGTTCGAGAAGCACGTTCACAGACAAAGTTATTTATTCAATAACCTATTCTCCATCTGTTTTCGAACACCTGGCTGTCCCTTTCTCTGCACTCCTCCCTCGTAACAAACAGTGAACTGTGTCAATATTTTAATGATAGTTTGTTAAACAACTTTTTTATTTTTAGGACAAAAATTCTGCAAAAACCTCACAGAGTGGGTATGATGTTTTGATTATGATCAGCGTTTCGTTGAGTATTTTATGTTTATTAGTTTTCGAGTTAGATTGCAATTCATCGGTCCGCTTTTGAGCCAAACGGACTATAAGCTATATAAAGGAAACTGACGCATTGTTTTGTGGTATGTCCAATCATGGATTCATAATTATCTGTTGATCTACTTTGGAAAGAAAGAAGTTTCAAGGCATATATGACGAGAATATTATAAGTTATGAGCTCATGGTATTGCAAGGCAGGCTGAGCTTATGTTATGGTGTTATGGTAAGGTAGGACCTGTGCAGCTCATGCTTGTCGTAAGAGGCGACTGACGGGATCAGGTGGTCAGGCTCGGTGACTTGGTTGACACATGTCATCATACACCAATTGTACAGATCAATGCTCATGCTGTTGATCACTGAACCACACATGTCCTGACTCAGCTACTTTCAGACCACCATCATATAGCTGGAATGTTGCTGAGTGCAGCGTTAAACAACAAAGAAACAAGCAATATAGTCAGCTATGTCGAGCTTGTGTTATAGTAAGTTATGCCGAGCTTGTGTTATAGTAAGTTATGCCGAGCTTGTGTTATAGTAAAGCAGATTGAGCTTGTGTTATAGTAAAGTCGGCTTCTGGCAGATATGCATTTACAATTTGCTAATGATATTTTTTTCTCTTTTTGCTGCGCATATTTTAGGACGAAGGTGATGTTTTACAATTTACTTGCATAACAGTATTCAGTAGTCCTCAGGTGCCCTAGCATCAACTAGCCTAGACGGAATGCCACGTAGTATCTCCTGCCTACTCTCTAATGCACTCTGTTGGTGATGTAGCATTAACTAGCCTAGACGGAGTGCCACGTAGCATCTCCTGCCTACTCTCGAATGTACTCTGTTGGTGAAGTTGTGACTGACCCATCACACTCTCCCTTCTCTGATACCTTCTCCGTGTAGACCTCCTGTAGTTGCTTCGCTGTGTGCAACATCTACTACTTTCCATTGTGTATTGACCTCACAGTTACCATGGTTACAGCTCATGACATATTTTTAAGTTAGTAACTTTGATTAGTCTATGGATTGCAAGTCTTACTGCATAATAACTGAGAGAAAAACTACCGATTCCTCAGATCAATTACACTGCAGTGTGATACACAGTGATACACAGAGCCCTGGAGCCCTGAATGATACATGATTCAAAAGTACCAGGGTAAGCACTTCTTAGGACATATTGAGAATTTATGTTTGTCCAAGATCTGGACTGGTGAAAATCCAGCAGGTCTCATTCAGTATGGATGCTTTCATCTCAGATGGGTTGTTAATGAGTCATTCATGTCATTACAACTGGCGTGAACCAGGGTAAGCTGACAAGCAGGCCTCATCTCTCCACTCTTGCCTCTGTTTTCTCCCTGTTATATCAGACAAACCTTAACACAGTATTCTCCATCCCAAACATACAGATAGCAAAGACTGATGTACAGATCATAAGATCCCCTGGCCGTATGTGTTGGTTGAATGTGTTTCATCCAACAACATGGGGGATGTTTCTGCTGTCAACCACTTGTTGCCTTGCAGACATTTCATTATTTACAGGCCACCTTATTTAACTGTAAATTGCTGACGCTGTAGTGCAAAAACCAACTCTTTTGAATCATATAAGGTAAGAAATATATCCGAGATGTATGAGGCAGTTTCAGAGGCAGTTCCCATGGTACAACTTCCCAGAGAATAGTTTAATTAATCTATTATCAAACATGACAAGCACATTTTCTAAAACAACAGCAGATTCAAGACCACCCATGTAAGACTGCAGGACCACCTAGTGGAATGACCTATTTAAGGGAGCAGGACTAGCCATGTAAAGTAGTGGGACCACCCATGTAAGGTAGTGTGGGACCACCCATGTAAGGCAGTTGGACCACCCATGTAAGGTACTTGGACCACCAGTGTAAGGCTGTTGGACCACCCATGTAAGGCTGTTGGACCACCCATGTAAGGCCGTTGGCCCACCCATGCAAGGCTGTTGGACCACCCATGGAAGTCAGTTGGACCACCAGTGTAAGGCTGTTGGACCACCCATGTGAGGCTGCAGGACCACCCATGTAAGGCCATTGGACCACATATGTAAGGCTGTTGGACCACCCATGTAAGGCTGTTGGCCCATCCAATGTAAGGCTGCTGGACCACCCATGTAAGGCCCTTGGACCACCAGTGTAAGGCCGTTTGACCACCCATGTAAGGCTGTTGAACCAACCATGTAAGGTAGTGGGACCACCCATGTAAGGTTGTTAGATCACCAATGTAAGGCCATTGGACCATCCATGTGAGGATGTTGGACCACCTATGTATTGCTGTTGGACCACCCATGTAAGGCCATTGGACCACCCATGTAAGGCTGCTGGACCACCCATGTAAGGCCATTTGACCACCCATGTAAGGCCGTTGGACCACCCATGTAAGGCTGTTTGACCACCCATGTAAGGCTGTTGGACCACCCATTTATGGCTGCTAGACCACCCATGTAAGGCCATTGGACCACCAGTGTGAGGCAGATTGACCACCCATGTAAGGCTGTTCAACCAACCATGTAAGGTAGTGGGACCACCCATGTAAGGTTGTTAGACCACCAATGGAAGGCTGCTGGACCACCCATGTAAGGCCATTGTAACACCCATGTAAGGCCATTGGACCATCCATGTGAGGATGTTGGACCACCTATGTAAGGCTGTTGGACCACCCATGTAAGGCCATTGGACCACCCATGTAAGGCCATTGGACCACCCATGTAAGGCCATTGGACCACCCATGTAAGGCCATTTGACCATCCATGTAAGGCTGTTGGACCATCCATGTAAGGCTGTTGGACCATCCAATGTAAGGCTGCTAGACCACCCATGTAAGGCCATTGGACCACCAGTGTAAGGTAGTTGGACCACCCATGTAAGGTTGTTAGACCACCAATGTAAGGCTGCTGGACCACCCATGTAAGGCTGCTGGACCACCCATGTAAGGCCACCCATGTAAGGCCATTGGACCATCCATGTAAGGATGTTGGACCACCCATGTAAGGCTGTTGGACCACCCATGTAAGGCCATTGGACCACCCACCCATGTAAGACTGCTGGACCACCAATGTAAGACTACTGGACCACCCATGTAAGGCCATTGGACCACCCATGTAAGGTTGTTAGACCACCAATGAAAGGCTGCTGGACCACCCAT